AAATTAAAAATATAAACAATAAAAATAAATAATGAAAGGCATATGACAAAATATTTCATTTTATGTTGTACTTCATGTGTGACTTTTCATGGCATCTTTGTTGTTATTGTTAGTTGCCTCTGAGTCCATTGTGACTTAAGGTTACCCCGTTACAACCCTTCAAAATAAATATCCACGTTTTTGAATATGAGTAAACTGAGGCACAGAGATGTTTATTGATTTGCCCAAGTTCACCAACTAGAATATGGTAGAGCCAGGATGAAAATTCAGGTCTGTTTGATCCCAGAAAGACTGCAACATAGGTAGACCCTAAACTTAATAATACCCCAGTAGAACCCTACTGTTTTCCCTTTCCACACTGATACCATTATCCAAGGCTCTCATTCTCTCCGCTCGCCCCAGTGCTGATTATATAATTTGCAAAATGAAAACATGGGGCCCCTTGTTCAAAATTTATTACGAATTTCAGGACAGTGACAGCAGAGCATTAAACCAAATGTGGGGCTCTTGTAAGCACAGGGCCCTTCTAAGCATGGGACCCTGTGAGACTGCACAGGTCCATGTCCATGAAATCCACACCTATGAAGCAAGCAGCCCCACAGTACACCTAACTCTGAGTCTGGTTTTATTTGTCTTTGAAATGTAGTAGGATTTTCAGGCTTTGTTTATGTGACAGGGAAATTACAAAACAAAAATCCTTTGTGACAAGGGAACATAATTCGTTCTTTACCATTTCTCACTGCATGTTAAGGAAGCTGATTCCTAATCTTTTTTTTTTTTAACTTTTTGTATTTTTTTATTGTACTTTAGATTAAGGTTTACAGAACAAATGGATTCTCATTAAACAGTACACATATTGTTTTATGACAATGGTTAACAACCCCACAACATGTCAACACTGTCCCTTCTCAAACTTGTGTTCCCTATTACCAGCTTTCCTGTCCCCTCCTGCCTTCTAGTCCTTGTCCCGGGACTGTTGTGCCCCATTAGTCTTGTTTTGTTTTATGGGGCTGTCTAATCTATGGCTGAATGGTGAACCTCCGCAGTGACTTCATAACTGAGCTAAAAGGGTGTCCGGGGGCCATACTCTTGGGGTTTCTCCAGTCTCTGTCAGGCTAGTAAGTCTGGTCTTTTTTTGTGAGTTTGATTCCTAATCTTTTGTGTGCTGAGCAGGATGATGAGTGTGTATCAGTTTCCTGTGGCTGCCATAACAAAAGTACCACAAAGTGGGTGGCTTAAAACAACAGAAACAAGTTGTCTCACAATTCTGGAGGCTGTTGTTGTGTGCTGTCGAGTTGATTCCAACTCATAGCGACCCTGTAGGACAGAGTAGAACTGCCCCATAGGGTTTCCTAGGCTGACATCTTTACAGGAGCAGATTGCCAGGTCTTTTCTCCCATGGAGCAGTAGTGGGTTTGAACCCCCAACCTTTCTGTTAGTGGCTGAGCATGCCACCAGGGCTCCTTCTGGAGGCTAGAAGTCCAAATTCAAGGTTTCCGCAAGGCCATGCCCTTTCTGAAGGTTCTAGGGGAATGTCCTTTCCTGTTTCTCTCAACTTTTCTGGTAGCCCCAGGCATTTCTCGGCTAGCAGCTGCAGCGTAACTCCAGTCTCTGCCTCTGTCTTCTCATGTCCATCTTCCCTGTGTATCTGTGTCTCTTTTCGTCTTTTTATGCGGACACCAGTCATACTGGATCAGGACCTGCCCTACTCCAGTATGACTTTGTGTTAATTTAATTGATAATATCTTCAAAAACCCTATTTCCAAATAAGATCACGTTCACAGACAATGGGGCTTAGTACTTCAGTGTATCTTTCTGGAGGACACAATTCAGTCCCTAGGAGAGTTTAAGGATGCAAATCAGTGGCTGAGAGGATGAGCAGGAGAAGAGGCTGGAGGCTGCTTGGGTGGAGAGGAAGACCTGGAAAGACCTGGGGCTGGCTGATGGAAGCTTTTGGAGAGAGAGAGAAAGGAGAGAGGGCACAGTTGGTCCCAGGGAGGGAAGAACAGGAATATTAAAGGGGATTTTATAAAGGTTTGCCATACGGCGAGTGATACTAACTCTGTTTGGTCTCATGGTGGGTTTGATATGCTAGTCATACATTTTTTTTCTACTGTACATTTAAATACATACATATCTAGTAAATGATAAATAATCCATTAATGTTTATTTGTGTTCTTCCTAAAATCATCTCATGTACTGCTAGTGGTACTGACACCACACTTTGGGAAATTCTGCTCAAGTTAGTTTTAAATAATGGTCTTTTCAGGATGGGGAAAGAAACCTGTGGTGGAGAGGGGTGCAGTTAAACATGTGCAGGACTTTTTAGTTCAGGCTGCCACAGATGGTGCATATCTGAATGAAGATGTTTAATTGCCTCCCCCATTTCAAATGCCCATTGAAATGACCAAAAGTCTATAATGGGGAAAAACCTGGATCGCCAAGAAGGGTGCCATCAATATACTAGAAAGTGGGAAGGATTTCTGAAAGATGTAACAAAGGCCAGACCGAGAGAAGTTGCAGCAACCTGAGTTTCACCTCAGGCTAAGGATGAGCCTGCCTGGCAGGCACTGGAGGCTAGGGTAGTCAGGGGATTCTGAGTTAGGGATGAATCTCTATCCTAGGAGGGACTTCAGGAAGCACACCATTTGCAGAAGAGACCCTAGAGTGGAGAGTCCTGCCACAGTGCGCTACTGGAGCCACCGCTTATCTCAGAGGTGCGCTGAGGGAAGTGAGGCACTGCCTCAGCTGGCTTCACACAAGGGCGGTTGTGCTGGTTCAAGAAAGGGGGGCAGCGAGTGAACAGATGGCCATGCCGAGCACAGGTTCTGTCAAGGCCGTGTCCAGCTTTAGCTCCCTCCCTGTGTCGCTAGGCAGCAGGCCCTCTCATCTGGAGAAGTGTGCCTGGTGATATTCATCTCTGTTGTCTGCTGTATTGGAGCACTCCTCTAGGTCCTTTTTGTGGCTGGCTTCTAGTCCTGTTTTTTTTGGGGGGGGGAGTGGCTTCATAATCATCCCCTCAGAGATGCAGCCCTTATTTAAAGTAAGTTCCCTGCTCTATTGTGTAGCAGTATCCAGTTTCTTTTATAGCATTCATTACTACTTGTAATTATTTTTTTAATTTTCTTCTTCTTTTTTTTTTTGTCTGTCTGCTCCACTAGATCGTAAGCTCCATGAGAGCAGGGATCTTGCCTGACTTGTTCACTGATGTATCACCAGCAGCTAGAATATAGGTATTCAGTATTTACTGAATGAGTAGGAGTTAGGAGAAAAAAAGTGAACAGGACCCAATGGTTATTCTTATACTAGCAATATATGTAATATACACTGAAGATAAAATTCTCATGAATGAACATTTATGCATACTATTGAAATATATAAAACAGGTAGTTTAAGAAATTCAAGTAGAAATTGACAAAACCATTATTGTGAAAGACGTCGATACATGTCTTGTAGTCCTTGATAGAAAAAATTGAAAGATATAGAGCATTTGAATAATATCCTTTAGTTTAATTTAACATTTATAATAGAGTTCATTGTACACTACAGGCCAAGAATACACATTCAGGTAACCGTGGAAGGTGGTCTCATTAAAAATGAGAAAAAAGATATAATTACAGATAAAAAGGAGATTTAAAAATTATAAGTGAAGAACTACCCCTCTCCAAAAAATACAGACTCAGACTGTTTATGGATAAGTTTTTCCATTCCTTTAATGGATCAAATAATTCCTATGCTGTTTAAACTGTTTCAGTATAGAAAAAACAACGAGAACCTTCACAGTTCATTTTATGAAGCAGGTATAATCCTCATGCCACAACCTACAGATACAGCACTAAAAAGACAACTACAGACACACACTTCACTTATGAATGTTGATCCAAAAGGCCTACATAAAGCATTATTTATTTCAGGAATGCAAAAATATTTTAATATCAGAAAATATATTAATATTCAATAATTAATAGGCAGAGGGGAAATATGGTTATGGCAGTAGATGTTAAAAGCATTTGATAAAATCTTACTTCCATTCCTCATTAAAAACAAAACAGCAACAGAAAAGTTGCAGTAAACCAGGACTAGAGGAATACCTCCTTAATTTAATAAAGAATATCTAAAAGTAATAGCCAACATTATATTTCATGAAGAAGCACTAGCACGTTCCCATTGAAGTCAGGATCGACTCAAGGATGCCCATTATCATAGCTATTATTATTCAACCTACTTTTAGAGGTTCCTAGGCAATGCAGCAAAAGAAGAAAAAGAAGTGAGGGGTTAATATTGGAAAGAAAGGAGGTAAAACCATCTGCATTTAGTTTTAATATGATTATCTATCGGGAACAAAACTGAAGAACAATGAGAACTAATGGGAGTCAACTAAGTAGGTTATAAAATACATGAACAACAATCAATAGCTTTCTTACATACCAGTAATAATCAGCTAGAAGATGTAGCGAAATAGAAGATGACATTCACATAACAATAAAATATATATGATGTCTGGGAATAAACATAATAAGTAATGTGCGGGACCTGTATTAATGCAGCTAGAAACCTTACTCATGGACATAAAAAGAGACTTGAATGAATGGAGAAACAAACCACTTCCTGGATAGGAAGATATTGTAAAGATGTCAGTTCTCTCCATGGAACACACAATAAATGTTTTTCGAATGAATGTTAAACGAACATAATGCGATAAAAATCTTACTAGATTTTCTTTGACTTGACAAAATGATTCTAAGGTTCATCTAAAAAATACTTCAGAATTACAGATAAAATTTTGGTAACAAAGACTAATGAAAGGATTGCCAGATCAGTTATTAAAACGTATAACAACATAAGATAAATTATAGCAGCGGTATTGGTGCATAATAAACAGATTGGTTAGTGGAATAGAATATAAAGTCAAGAAACATACCTATGAATGTCTGAGGACTTAGAGTATGATGATGATGGCACAAGTAGGAAAAGATGGATTATTTAATAAATGATATCGGGATAACTAGAAAAAATATATCCCTACTTCATAACATATTCCAAAATATATTCCAGGTGGATTAAGGATTTTAATTTAAAAAAGTGAAACCATGAAAGTGTTAGAAGAAAATGTTAGAGTCTAGAATATCTTTCTAAACATTATCTGAAAGGCAGAGATAATAAAGGAGGAGATTGATAGATTTGATTACCTAGAAAATTGTAAACTTCTGAACTTCCCGAAACACCATAAAAAAATGAAAAGGTACCTGACTCCTTTTAAAAGACTCTTTGGAACATATATGGCAGATTAAGGAGTAATTTATTATGCAACAAATTTATGAAAGATTTCACCTCACTGATAATCAAAGGTGAAAATGAAAACCAAAGAGATGTCATTATTTTGGCTAGTAAACTGGCAAATGAAAAAAAGGTGAGGATGCAAGAAAGCTGGTGCTTGCATGCACTGCTGGTAGAAGTGCACATTGGTGCAGCCTTTCTGGAAGGTAATTTGGCCATAGTCAAGAGCTATTCTTTAAGAATTTATCCTAAGGAATTTGTCATGAATATCTGCAAATATATAGCTCTGATGATAATTATTACGGTTTTCTTTGTAATGTCAATAAAGTGGAAACAACCTAAATGTCTTCCTATGAGGGAATGGCTACATAAGTTATCAAAGAGCCCTATGATGGAATACTGTGAAGTTATTAAAGAAAGTGTTAGAAGATACATAGTAATGATAGGGACACATCCATACTGTGGGAAAGAAGGATAGCCTTTTATATTGGAGGGATTCTGAAAGTAAGACTAAAAACAGCTTCTTTGAAGTAACCAGGAAGAAGGATAAGGAAGGATTACTGTACGTAAGGCCTTTATTTTTATCAGTAAATAAAAAAGCCGGTATCTTTACCAAGAGTTTCTGTGATGAGATTGTTGCTAATACCTGATTTAGTTTGAATACAATACTGTTTCCAAGCTGTCAATTGATTAGGCCCCTCAAAGTCACTGCTAGCAAATTCACTATTGTAAATCAGTATACAGCATAACAGTGGGGAGTTTCAGCCTATAGGTTAAGCACTTGTAAACCTAGTACTCAATTTTTCAATCTTATGCCAGAATCGTATTCTGATTAATAACAATACCTAAGCTGTTATGAGGTGAAAGTACATTATCTGTTAACTATTAGACTTTCCGTAACTGTTTTAAATCCTTACGAAGCAAAGGGAATTCCTATTAAAAGGTTTGTCAGAAGTGAGAAATACTTTATATGTTGGCATTAATAACTTTACTTCTTCTAAAGGGTTCTCAAACTCTACGTCCCCAAACGAGTATGTTCTGTGGATCAATAAGAATGCCGATGGACAGTCTCCGGGAAATGAATCTGTGATGGAAACTCTGTTAAGCTTTTTTTCTCCAACAAGTAAGTTCTTATTTGATTTTTTTTCCCCACCAGTATCCTTGTTTTGACAACAGTAGTTAAATGTTTAGGAGGTAGTGTGGCATGTGGCGTTGGAGTCAGACATACCTGAGTTTCAGTTCTGGCTCTGCCCTTTGTCTTAGACAAGATACTCTCTGAACTTCATTGTCCTCATCTTTAACATGAAGATATTTACCACAAAGAATTGTGAGGATGAACTGAGACAACATTTGTAAGACAATCAATAGATATTTGTTCCTCTTTATAAAATACTTTTCTTTCACAAATATTTTAAACCTTTCACAATTTACCTTAATGGTCTTGCCTGAAATTTAGTCACTGTCCCAGTATTGTGAAATAGGTGTCTTCTGTGGCATTAAGCAGGGTACTGTGTGGCCCTGATGTTATGGAATATACCAGATGTTTTCCCATCTGTTTTAACGATAAAAATTTCAGGTTTCAAGTTGCACAGTCTTGTTGTGAATCTGTATATAATGCGTTTTTTAGGCACTTGATGACCCCTGAGGATTATTAACCACAAATGAAACCGTTTCATTTTGTACAGCATGTGGTGCCCTTTCAAGGAGAAGCTTCACAGAAATCGACATATGTGAATTATAAATAAAGCTTTTATTAAAAATCATCCAGAGTTTATTTTAATAAAATTAGATGTAGGTATATAAGTTTAAGACAAATATCTGACCTAGGTTGATTGAAATTTTTGAAAACGATGACTAAATATTTATAAAATATACATACTGTCTTCTTTGAAAAGGTTCATAAAATGTGAAATACTTTCAACCGATTTATTTCCTCCCCTGGATAATTGCAAATGAATACTCGTTCCACTCAGGTATTTTTTTTTTAAAGTCTGTTGTGTTGTCATTGGACTGTTGTTTGTTAAAAATTCGCTTCTTAGAGATTAAAATGATAACCTTGAGACATACTGGCAGGGAAGCTCAAGAGGTCAGTTGATCCCTTCTCCCTCTAGATCAAATGATATACTTAAACCTGATAAAAATGGTTGTACCCTTTTTCTTCTTCAACATCACTAGTGTCTCTTAGTAATTTCAGTCTGAAAGGTAATTTTACTATCTAATCGAAAGTCCATCAGATGCAGTATAAGTATTTAAAAAAAAAGAAGCTCAGCATTAGAAGGGACTTAGTGATCATTGGAGTCCCTGGGTGGCACTAACAGTTAAGCGCTTGGCTGCTAACTGAAAGGTTGCTGGTTTGAACCCACCCAGAGGCACCTAGGGAGAAAGTCCCGGCGATCTGCTTCAGAAAGGTCACAGCCATGAAAACCCTGTGGAGCACAGTTCTAGTCTGCAACATCTGGGGTTGCCACGAGTCGGAGTCGACTTGACGGCAACTGGTAACGGGTTTTCTTCAAGCTATCTACTTCAGTCTCTTGTATGTTTTGAAACCCTCTCTTAAGCCTTCCTGGGCAGTGGTGTTGGAACAACGCCAGTGGGGAGGAACTCAGTATGCAGGAAGTTCATTCCATTTCTGAGCAGGCTCTGTCTGTTGTCACCCTCTTCTGGGTGTGTGGTGCCCAGCGCTGAACACAGTCTTCCAGATGCAGTCCAACATCTGGGGGAGTAGAGTCACCCTAGGCTTGCCAGAATTAAGAACAGATTGCTTAGAGTGCATAGCAACAAAGTGGGCTAAACGCTCACATGTCTAAAATGTTTGGGGAATGAATATCCTGGCTGACTGGTATACATTGAATTTGGTACTTACATCCTTTATTTTCTCATCTTTAAAATGGAGATTGTTAGACTCGGTTTGGCAGTGTGTTTCGAAGATTAGTAATAATGTAGATAAAGCAAGGTGCCTGGCCCAGATGGGTGCTTAATGAATGGCAGCCCTTATAATTTCGACCTCAGCTTCAGGAATTGCCTATTTTTAAAGAAGAGGAATATAATATGTTAAGAGGTAAAAGTATGCTTAAAACAATTATATTGTTCTTTGTTGATGTTGAAGTGCTTTAGAGTGATCATAAAACATCAGTTACTACTTTTTAGTTATCGGCCTTTGTGGTTGTCATTTGTTTCTCTTATAAAGAAGGATATTAAAAAATCACTTATTTGACATTGTAAGTCTTAGATTCAGATATGTGAGAATTTATTGCAGGTGCATGAATCTTGGTGTTCATGCCATAAATCATTGCCTATTCAAAACTATAGAGTTATAACGTAAGGCCAAAAGGAAGAATTTAAAACATACATCGTAGTGCCAATATGATAAGTGTTCACATAAAGTAGGTCAGTACCATTAGTATCACTTACTGTCTGTCGGTAAGCTGTGCGAATTTTACTTACATTAATTCTCATTGAGGCATTCAGTGAGTTTCTGTAGCTTAGTCAGATTAAGTGAGAGAGTATCTGTGGCATTATTTTAACAGAGTGTTAGTTTCAAGGGAGTTTGGCCTGTTCTTGTTATTTAGTTCCTTCTGTGATATTTTTGAATCACCACCACTCACCACATGATTTTATAGTCCTTTTAAAACTACCTTACTAATGATCTGTTAACAATTTATGTTTTTTCTGCAGTTCATCTAGAATTGAAAATGTGATGTTAAATACCTTTGTGGTAATTTTTAGTTGAACTCTTATTTTTTCAGCATGCATCATGATTTGTATATATCATTCGGTCTTTTCTTTAAATGTACTAGCCTGTTTTCTTTGTTGTTGTTTTGCCTTGCAATAATTGTTTAATTAGGGGAAATGCTTATTAACCATGTTGAATTCTCTTTGTTGGATTTCTGTTTCTAAAAGCATGCATTCCAAAAGAGAATCAGGTGGTAGAGGCTTGTAATGGACAGAAGGATCTTAACGCGAGCGAATGTTTGAAGTACAAATGCTGTTATTCCGAGACCAGTGACTTTGGCTGTTTTGTCCCATTAAGAGATAGTAAGTTCATCTTCTTCTATTTTTTATATTTCTGTCTTTAAAAATGGAATAAACAGGTCACAATGGCATCAGTTTAAATTGGGAAGTCCCAGCTTAACACGAAAGGGGGGCTCCCAGCCCTAGAGCAACACTGTCCTTTGAAGGTCCTGAGGTGGTCAGGACTCTCTTCGTGGGCTGTTTCTGGTTAGCCCTTGGATGGTACCTATGGCAGCTCACAGTGAGTCTCACCTCTTTAGCTTTAGTTGCTCTCTGTCTAATGTCCCGAAGGTTCCAGGCTCTGTGAGGTGGAACCCTCAATGCCTGGGAGAAGACACCAGTTGGGCATACGTCTGCTTTCTTTTCTCTGTCCAGCTTCTCTTCCTGAGTAGGATTTTTCCCATTTAGCTCTCCTTCAGCATCTAAGTGTATAACAGTAGACTTGATTGTTTTTTGTTAAAGCTTATTAGTTTTTCTTTGTTTTGTTTTTGAATTAGCTTCTTAAGATTGTTTTTTTCTTTACAAAGTTGTGAGAACTAGGCAGTCTGTTTTCTGCCTTCATTTGGATGATGGGGCATATTACCAGTTGGTCCCACAATGAGCATATTTGATATGATGGCACACTAACAAATACTTCAGAAAGGATGTAGGCAAAACAGTTTCTTAGGTTAATACAGTCCCTATTCAATTTCCAGTTCTTTGTTGAACATCTAGTATTAATAATGGAAGCTGAAACCTGATCATGAATATAGTATTACAATTTTAACACTGTCACATTGTGTTTATAATTCGTTCATCAGTTTGATTTTTATATTCTCTGTAAACAGACAGTTGGTTCTTGTAGATGACAAAAATTGAACCGTGACTTACAATTCCCCAATCATATTAGAATGTATTTCTAAATGAATGTAAGAATAAAATATGCTTATTCACCTGCAAATTCTTGATTCCTTGTTTAATTTAATGTTTTATAATTTGGAAGTAAACATTTAATAAGCTGCTCCTTTACCAAGTTAACTGTTCATAGCTTAATTTGCTCCTTGAGTGCTCAAGGATGTGTAACATACGGCCAAGGAGAAAGCACTTATGGCCATAGGAAGAAATGTATACTATGCATTGCAATAATCTGTTAACAAAAACAGTAGGATCATTTTGTTAAAGCTTCCATTGAGGGGCACGTATTTAAAATGTAGCCTTTAGTTGTATTCCAAAAACATTTCATAAGCTCCTGCTGCTTATAGAGTAGCAAGGATATGTATCTACCTGTCATATAAGAATCCCTCCTCATTTTACTTTATTAACTGGTAGTTTTCTATAAAGACTTTGTGAAAGAGCTCAGATTTGCTTCTCTTGCTTAAGTCATAAAAGTAACAGGATATAATTAAACCAACAGAGCCTACACAGATGTTCCGGATGTTTCTGGTTGGTGTGAGCAGCGTGATCATCCTGGGATTTGTGCCCGTTTGTTGCTGCTCTTTTTGCCGGAGGAGGTAGGCAAACATATTATTTGTTGATTGCTAAGCATACTTGGATATTTTTGTGTAGACACATTTATTCAGATGCTCCAGAAACACAGGGATTGTATTTGTGTCCCTTTTGTTTCAAACAGGCTAGCTTGGGAAAAACCTAAAAGTAGTGACCATAATATTTTTTAAAATGCACATTAGTCTATTTTTCCATCAATTCAAGCTATCCTCTTGTGTAGTCTGTACATTCCATCATTAAACAAGACTCCAGTTGGAAGGAAAAATGAATCAACATGTTGGGTGTGTGTAGAGTAGGGACTGCTGGTTATTAACTGCAAATCAGGAGAATTCCCCAGAGTATGTGTTAGTATCCATTGTGTTAGATGGTCATCTACCATTGGGCCTTAAGGCTTTGGTCAGTCTTCAAGCAAATTTGTGCGAGATTCCTTCTTAGCATCTTGAGCAAAATTCCAGTGGACTACTGGCGTGACGCTTCTAAGTGATTTTTTTTTTTAATAGCTCCCCATCTACTGGGACACGGTGGGTGTGGAGGTCCAGAGCAAGGCCAGGACTAGGGTGAGGTGAGAGGGGATCTTGGGGTGCAAAATTTAAGGAGATGCTAACTCTCAGGTTTGTGCAAATGCAGGGTCAGCACTTGCATGACTCTGAGAACTAGTACTTCCTTAAATTCTCTGGTAAAGAGAAAGTGCCTGTTGAAGGTTAAGCATCTTTGAAGTTTTTATATGAGTTGATGGGAAAGTAGTGTTTGAGTTACCAAAAAATGATTCATATTTCACTGGAAGATTTATAGGACATTTGTACCTTAACTTTCTATAAGGATCAAGTCTTGCTTTTTTTACTCTTGTGTAGCTTTTCCTTGAGTGCTCAGAATGTGTCATATTCCTCATTGTAGTCTCGGTTCGTAGCAGACTGCCTCACATATAGTGGATGCTTAATACGTTTTTGTTGAATGAAACAATGAGTGAATGAGTGAAAAATATATAGTGGATGGAGTTGGATTATATATACATAATTTATATTTTCAGTGACTAGGATAAGGTTATCAGAGGCCTGAAGTTTCTGGAAATTATCAAGTGACTTGGTAATCCTGGCAGTTTGCCTGGTTGTCTGTTTTATGAAGGGCGTTTAACCCTGATCATGAAGCCCATTTTCTCATTGCTTACATCTCTTTAACAGACCATTTGGAGACCACTGTTGGGTCACAGCATTTTCACTATTCCAGTTTACATATTACGGTCAATTCTTTTCTCAGTTTTCACTTTAGTTTCCTATTCTGAATGAGTGATCTCTATTCCTGTGCCTTTTGGGTTTTTTCTTTTTACCAGGTGATTGGGGGAGTGGGAATGGAATTTTTGACCCTTCCTTCTTCTCTTCAAAGCTTAGTTTTATATAAAAGATTACTCATGAATAAAAATGAAATTATATTTGCTAGAAATTGGTGACTAAGATTAGGCCATACAATTTAGAGGGAGTCGAGTATAATAAGCCTGGTATAATAACTTCATTATGGGTGCTCTGTTGTGCCTTCTGCCAAGGAGTTTTATGAGGATGTTCAGGTCCACTGGATTTTTTTCTAAAATGAAATCCAAACGATTATCCCTTGATAAGACTATATTTTCTTCTTTCTGCATAATGCAAACTGCTTGAAAGGCTTGAATTAATGTGAATAAGTATACAGGTAGTCTTGACTTAATGATGTATTCGAGTTACGATGAACTGCACTTACAACTGTCTTTCTTTTTTGCACATCTTATCGTTAGTAATATGTATGTATGCATGTATTAAAATATATCTGTAAGTTTATATGTAATGTTTCCAACCCCCAAAGACAAAAAGATGGGATTTATAAAGACACTGATAATAAAAGGTAATAATAATTAAAATTAAAAAAAAAATGAGATATTCAACTTACGTCAGAACAGACTTACAACAGAATCATTGGAACGGAAAACTCCATTGTAAGTCGGGGACTACCTGTATATGGGAAACCATAAATTTTGGTTTATTATTTTTTAATTTTGTTTTTTTAAGTAGACTTTATTTTTAGAGCAGTTTTAGGTTTACAGAAAAATTGTGCAGAAAGTACAGAGAGTTTCCCATACACTCCCTCGTCCCCTGCCCACAGTTTCCTCTGTTAATGTTTTGCATGCCTGTGGTACATTTGTCACAATTGATGAACCCATATTGATGCATGATTATTAACTAAAATCCATACAGGTTTTATTGGCCTAAAAATGCCCCGTGCTCCACCCATTCATCCTTTTCAGCTCCCACACCCCCAAAAGCCAAGTGACCACTGATATTTTAACTGATGCTATAGTTTGGCCTTTTCCAGAATATCGTATAGTTGAAATTACACAGTACAACACAAAGGCTTTTTAGATTGACTTCTTTCACTTAGCAATATGCATTTAAGCTTCCTCCACATCTTTTTGGGGCTCGATAGCTGGTTTTTTTTAATCACTGAATAATGCTCCACTGTATGAATGGACCACAGTTTATTTATCTAGCCCATGATTGAAGAACATCTTGGTTACTGTCAGTTTTTGGCAATTATGAGTAAAGCTGCTGTAAACATTCGTGTGCAAGTTTATTTGTTTATTTTACTGTTTTTGTGTAAGAGGTATTGTTCCATTAGTCATCCTGAGCTGCCTGTGGCAACCCCGGACCAGGTGGCTGATCCGGCCTGCTTTTTAGCTGGAATTTCCAGGAGCAGTGGTTGAGGGTGGATGGGACACACTCAGCTTTTCCTGGAAGGCTGACTTTAGAGGCAAGGGGGATAATTGTGTTAGAACAGAGATCCCATCCTTTACCAAACAAGGGGCTAAGTGGAGGCCAAAGGCTGCTAACCACCCGCCCCCCCCCCACTTTTTGGAGGGTAAAGTATCTCCTTAGAACTATCTCCTCAACTCATTTCCGGTTTTCCATTTCAAAGGATAAATAAATAGATGAAATATTAGGTAAAATAATCCCGTAAAAGGGAAATAGATGTAGCAGTAAAATCAATATGTAGTTGTTTATTTAAAAAAAAAAAATCCAAACACAGTTATTTGTCTAACTCAGAGGGGCTAAAAGCCAAATCCAGATCTGCAGGAACCCAATCTGGGTCTCTTTGTTGGAAGAACTCTTGAGGGATTGGAAGAAACCCTTAGCACCTCTCCCTGCTGGATCCTGTCCTATACTTTACTAAATAGTGAAGCTTTACTTCAGGAGACCGCTGTTGTAGCTCTCCTTTACTGGCCTTCAGTTGCAAGCCCAAACAAATGGACCTTTCAGCATTACTCCAGTCCTGCAGTTTGGACAGCACCTTTGTTTACAGATCACCTAAGGAGCTCCCAACTGAATTAGAGGAATGAAAAATGAGAAGTAATCTAAACAAGTGGGAGACATAAAAGCCCTTTAAATGAAAAGGATAATCACTCTCCAGAGCCAAACGTATTCTTTTGGTGCCTCATTCATGTGTTCCACAATTGACCGTATTTATTCAGTGTCTGCTTGTGCTAGGTACTGGGCAGGATACAGAAATGGGTAAGACTTAGGCCCTACTCTTAAGGAGCTTAAATGTACCTTAAAACAAATCCCAAGCCTTACACATTTTAAATAGCAATGTAAGATAGAATATAATTAAGGACTAAAATGAGCGGTGACAATAACTTACGAAAGTTCTGAGGCAGTGGAGATGAGGGTGATTGGGAAGGGAAAGAGTAGGCTCCGTGGTGGAGGTGACATTTGAACTGAGTTTTGAAGGGAAGACAAGATTTGGATAAGATGGGGAGGGGGTCTTCTCACAGAATTCATTTAATCCAGATGGGGTCTCCTCACTATAGACTCCTTAAACCTCTTGTTATTTCTGAGCGGAGGTAGCTGAACTTTGTCCCTGGAATAATCTACAACTGAATTTCTAGTTTACTTCTACTTGACTTGAGCTCAAGTGTGATACTAACTAGGTACACAGAGAACTCAAGTTGGCTTGAACTGGTTGCACATGTACAAAAGGGGTAGAGAACATTAGTGAAGAGCTTTCTAAGAAATTGTTATGAATAGCCTTCTTTAAGCTAGCATGTAAAATGTGGTTTGAAATTCACTGCATCCTCAAGGTTATGTAAGATCTATTTTTATCTTTATTAATAGGGATCAGAAGCCTCATTAGGTTTAAGTGTCACTAGTAGGCTTAAGACTTACGTAGAGAAGAAGGAAGGAAAAGATCAGGTGGATGGAGGACAAAAGAGAAACAGGGAAGGGTGGGGAATGAGATAGCTGAGTTATTCCTCTTACAGTAATAGAGTGCCAACAGCAGTAGTCTTGAGTGCCAAATTCAGTTTCTAATCTTTGCCTGTTTTTAGGTAAGGTTTAAATCCATATGCATATGCCAATTAAACATCTGTATATTATATAGTGGTATGATACTTGAGTGTGTACATAGGTAAAAAATTCAAGCATTATAATGCTATGCCTGTTAAACTCAGATGATGCACATTTTTCTGTTGTTTTGTCTTAGGTTGAATTTGTAACTGAATTAAGTAAAAAATCAGATGAAAATACAAACCTATCAATTTTCTTTCAACTAATAAAAAAGCTATGATTTTTTAAGACTGTAGATGATCTGACATGCAAATGATGTAAAAAGCACATCCCCCATACACTTTCAATGTTGCTACTTGCCAGATGGCTGTTACTGAAAATTTCTACATTTAGGCAAATCCTGCTGTGTGATTCTCTGTATTATAATGTGGTTTTCAGTATGCAGATAGTCTTAATGCTACTTATTTTCTTAGAATGAGAGGTAAAGAATTGGGAGTAAATGTGTCAAAAATTGCCTAAAAATCATCACCCATTGAGTTTAAAAAATAGGCATTTACATTTTCAAATCCCCGTGTTTGTGTGTTTCATTATACTGTACAATATAATTAGTAATGTTATTTTGCAAAGCTTTATGCAGTAATTAGCCAACTGCTGAAAGGTTTGAAGTTCCTAGGTTTATATACATATGAATGGAGAGAAAGGAAATAAAATCTGTAACATTTGAAAGTATGGCTAGGCTCTAAGAACTTTTATAAAATATGATCAGATCAGAACGTGAACAACCTGGAACCTTGCTCTAACATGAGTCACTATAGATTTGAAATCTGTATAAATCCAGTTCTTCTTGAACCCTGTTCAAGGTAATTTAGCTACTGAAATAATAAGAGAACCTCATTATAAGTGGATTACATGTCTGAGGTGTTCCCATAGCAAGGGACTCCAAGGGCAGCATTTTAGAGAATTCTGGAATCATAGGTACTATTAAAGAGAACAATTCGTTGCCAAGTAACTAATAGCCTTGTTGTAAAATGCAGAGGCCTTTTCTCAATTCCTACCCAACTTGACCTTTTTTGTCATATAATACAGTGTCTACTTCCCCTTCTTGAACTTTTCCTCCCTTGGACTTCATTATTCCCCTTACCATTCTGACCCAGCTCAGTCTGCTTTTCTTTGTTCACCCAACTGTGACTGTTCCCCAAAGCCTTGCTCTCATCCATCAGAGTATGTCAGAGGTATGGAGTAGAAAGAATATTTAGGAAGATCTGGGTTCTAGTTCTGTGTTTACCACCTAATTTCAAATAAAATCTACGGATAAAGAAAATATAGTCATTTTAATTATGTAAAGTAGGGTATATTGACGTCATTGAAGTACAAGTCCTCAATTCCTTATCTAAAATTCTGAAATTGAAGAAGTTCTGCAAATCTAAATTTTTTTTTCCTAGCTCACTTGGCAGCAAAACCTCATTTGACCCGACCTGCAACTCTTTATGATCATTATTTATCCCACTTGGCATGAATATTCATGTATTTTTGTTGCAGAAGTATTCCTGTGTTGGATTATGAGATGCTGCCTCGGACCTCAGGGGGGTGTCATGTAATACCCAGTATATCATCTCATATTACCCTTCTAAAATCCAAATACTTCTGCATTCTGACGCACATCTGGCCCCAAGGGTTTCAGATAAGGGACTGTGGACTGTGTAGTTGTTTCAGTTATTATTATTTTTTAAGACTGCAGTTAACAACACTGCAGCATAAAGAGGCCATAGGTAAATCATATAAATATATTTTTGGCCTTCGCTCACTATTTCATTTATGCCTGGAGCCTTTTTTTAGGATGAATTGAGTAAAAAGTGTTTCTTTGCCCTACATCTGTCTTACCTAGTAGAGCTTAGTGACAACCCAGTAATGCAGTTTTAGGGGAGAAAAGTGAATATTACCTTCAGAGTCATCATTTCAAAGGCAGTCTTATCTATCTCTGGGCTTCACATGCTCGGAGCCTGGTCTGCTGTGTCCCCCTAACTAGCACTGTCATATGTCCCCTTCTGTGTGCTACTTGCATTGAGCTGAGGACAGGATTAGTCCTCTGTCGTGCCCTCTTCGTAATATTGTATGCAGATCCTTCTCTCTCTCTGTTATGGGTCTTCTCCTGACCTCTGCCATCAACATTTCTATTTTTTATCCTTGGCTTGTATTTAGTTCTTTAGAAAGTGAAAGTTGAAAGTCCTATAAGCAAAAACATAAAAGTCAGCTATATTTCCTGAGCCCCCAGTGTGTGCCAGGCTCTGTGGGGTATACAGAGATATGAAATAAGGTTCCAGCTTGAAGGCATTTTACAAGCTCAGAGGGGAGAAAGAGGCTGGCTAACCTAGTGGGGAAGAGGTTGTGCCTTAGATTTAGGCAGGTTTGGTTTTGAATCCTGGCTCAAGTATTGAGTAGTTTGGTGACCTTGGGCAGATTACTTTCCTTCTTGATGCCTCACTTTCACCATTTGAAAAATGGAAATGATAAAACTAATACCTGCCTCATTAGGTCATCATGAAGATTAATGAGATTATGCACATAGGAAGTCTATCATACCTGTTGCTGTTAGCCATTATTAGCCAACACTGCAATGTGGTCTAATGGAAGGGTGCTGTTGAGCAGACGTGGGTTCAAATCCTGGCATCTCTATTTACTAGCCGTGTGTGACCTTGAGTGAGTTATCTTACCTCTCTAAGGCCCAGTTAAATTTGCAAATAGGAAACACAGTATCCACTTTTTAGGGTTTTTGTGAAAATTAAATGAGATAAAACATATAAAGCACCTAGCCAAGTTCTTGGCATATGATCGCCTCTCAACTGCCTCCCCTCACCATCTGTGCAAACACAAGCACAGGATTAAATACCAAATCATAGTGATTGTAAGTGAAAGTTCTTTGAAAATTGTAAATTCTAATGCAGTGTTAACTGTTACTATTGTGAAGTTCATAGTAGGGGGAGAAGGTAACATGTAAGCTGGTTCGTGAAGGATGTGTAGCATTGATGTTAGCAAAGGGAAGTAGGACAGCATCCTTGTTGTGGAGGATCAAGTGATCAAAATGACTCTGTATAGAGTAATAATGATGGTTAAAATGATAAATATGTGTGAGCCAAGTGTAATACTTTCTATCAGGTCTATGAAATCTGGGGAGTTATAAAAAAATCATGTGGGAGAGTGGAACACGTTATGTAGGCAAATATCCTTTATAAACTCTCATTGTTACTGTTCTATCACTGTTGGGAAATAAGGTTTTGCTTGAACTTTTAATATTACAGCAAATGGGCCAATCCTTTCCAAAGGAAAGTCAACAGAATTTTAAAGGGTTTGAAGAAGCAAAGAAACAAACCGAAGATGGATACTGAATTGTTAGAGGCAGTAACGGAAGATGTGGAAGGACAGAGTGATGAAAGGGAGGAAGAGTCTGGAGGTAATTGACAATAGGATATAAAATTGAAGTGCTTAGTATCTGATTCTTGTTAGCTTTATATTTCTGTCATCGTCTTGGTTTGACTGATACTTATTTTTTACTCCACGAATCCTTGGACCACAGTAGTGTCAGCTTCTGGAATGATATTATCACTAAGGATGTTTGGATGGTAGGAAGGTGGACAAGAGATGCGCCAAGCTGTTTTGATGCCACATTATTTGATACACGTAGTTCAGCCCTTCAGGGGCAGCAAAGAAGTGGAATCTGTCTGCTCTGACTTGGAGGCTCCATGGCAGATGCCCTTGGTAGATAATAATGACCACAGTCCTCCATGTGTGTTGCCCACACCACCTCTGCAGGGGAAAGAGTATGGCCTTAGGGGTCTGACAGACCTGGGATCAAATCCTGGCTCCTAGCTGTTAGTTTCAGCTACCCTCCCCTCCAAAAAACCCAGTGCTAGAAGAGATTGAGAGTGGGGATCTCAGAGTCACCACTCGGGGCTCCCTGGGCCTCACTGGCCAGAGTTGCAGATTCCCTTCACTTTGACCTCAGACGACTCCTCCCAGAAATAATTGTGAAGGGTCAAGTAAGAGTGAAATGGTTGATGAGAAAAGGGATATACTTCAGTGGTGTTTCCATGGGCAAGTAATGCAACCTTTCAGCTCCTTAATAGCGCCATCTGAGTTTTTTTTGTGTGGTTTTAACAATATAGTGTATGTGAAAATGCTTCGGAAATTGCAACACACTACTCAAATCTAAGACTTTAATTTCTAGCCTCAGTTACAGAGAAACAGAGGAGGTGGGATAAGCGGATCATTGACCTCAGTGTCAGGAGCCTCTGGCGTCAGTCGCATTTCTGACATTATTGACAGTGTGAGCTTGGCCAAGTCCCTTAACATTCATGAGCTTCAGTTCACCGATCTGCAAAACAAGATGAATAGGAAAAGCGACTTATCTCAGGAGCAACAAAAGGGAATCTTTGTACAAGGTGCTGTGTAAGTGTATGTATGATATGTGTGTGTGTATATATAATTTAAACAAGGTAATGCAGTCAGTTCTCATTGTTTGTGGTAATTATGTTGTACAAAGTAACCACAAACACTGATTTAGCGAATAGATGATCCAGAAGAATGCGGAAATTATTGAATAATATCATTAATATCACACGCAAGGGACCTGAATTTCTCAGAGTTTTGAATAACTTGCTAGTATGTGGAAGAGGCAGGATTCTCACCCAGGTATCTGCATCCCCACCTTTAGCTCCATGATCATGGATGATTCAAACAGCTAAGTTATGGTCCTAACTCAGTGATCTTGGGCGGGCCCTTTAACCTGCCCAAGCCATGGTTGACTCATAGTTAGACCCTCGGTTCTTTCCCTAGTATTTCATTGGACTGCTAAACAATGAAATGCAGTTGCACGTGTGTAAAAGCACTTTGTACCCTCTAAGGCAGCCTGCAGTGCCGTGTGTCATTAAGGCTTGTGGTGATGGCACGCCCTGCTGTGTCTGAGTCTCTGTTTCTGGGTGGTCAAGGTCAAGAATAGCTGTGTACAGAACACCA